TCACACCAGTGACAGCTGCAAAGTCATCCGACGTCTCTCCACTCAGCTGCACCCTTGCTCGCATACCACTGTGCAGACATTCAATTACACTTACGAACTTACGCGAACAACCAACAACGCGAGCCACAATGCCTCGCGGTTCACCGTATCAAATGCCTTGGTGAAATCGACAAACAGCGAATACAACAGCTGGTGCCGTTCTCTACACTTCTCCTGCAACTGACGAGCTGCAAACACCATATCTATAGTGCTGCGACCCGAACGGAATCCACACTGCTCTTCCGCCACGTTAGGTTCCACAACCTGACTGACGAGGCGATTGAGCAGGATTCGGGCAATCACCTTGCCCATGCAACTCAACAAGTTGATGTCAAGATAATTCGTGCAACATTGCTTGCTATCTTTGCCCTTGTACAGTGGTAGCACAAGGGCATCCTGCAGATCAGCAGGCACCTCCTCCTCAATCTATGTGCGTTGCACCAAACGGTGCAGCGCAGTCACCAACGCGGATTCGCCGTGTTTCAATACTTCAGGCAAGATCCCGCCCGCCCCAGCACACTTGTCGTTTCGCAGCTTATCGGTTATTGTTAATGTGTCCGATCACTCGCGGCGAAGCGCAAAAGATCGAACGAGTACAACACATCGCCACCAAGTTGATCCCCAGCTTGAGAGGCTTATCGTATGAAAACCGGTGCATGAAACTTGGGCTCTACACCTTGTCATATCGCCGTGTTCGAGTGGATCTTATCATGACCTACCGTATTTTACATCTCGGTCATTTCCCCATGCTAAGGTCGTTACTCCACTTGCGAATACCATGCACCACACGTGGGCACAGGTACAAACTCGTGGTACCTGATCTGAAGAAAATCCCACACCCCCTGTGTTTCGAGCGGAGGGTTGTGCACGCCTGGAACAGTCTGCCAGAACACGTCGTCGAGGCCGAATCTGTGCAGAAATTCAAATCTTTGTTGGATGTACACTTCGCTAACATACGTTTCAGAGAACGGTTGCCACTTGACAACGATATCACCCACTTGTGACTCACTGTGTAAAGTACTGAGGAGACAATACGAAATGCATGCATCTACCAGCCTTCGTCTTCTTTCCGTGCTTTTCAAATTGTTGAAGGGAACTAACTGCTTTATATATATATATATATATATATATATATATATATATATATATATATATATATATATATATATATATAATCAGCGGTCTATAACGTAGACAGAGCCCGCGAAAACCATGAAACGGAATTAATGTATACAGGACCACAAAGAAAAGAATGAACGTTACAAAGTTTTTTGTTTTTCAATCTCTTCCTTTTTCACACACCGTTTCATCTTTTTTGTTTTTTTCAATGTTTGCGATGTAAATCAAAAAATCACGAGAAACACTTGTACACATTTTCCATTAGACCCGGTTCCGCGCCATCTCCGAATGAGTTTCCAGCTGGCGGTCTTCTTCATCTTTGATCCCCCAGCCTGGAAGAGGCACGGGACCTACGACAGGTAAACTGGAAGTCAGCGCTTTAATCGTTTGTCGCCACGTGATAGTCTGACCACCGCGCGATTTCCTCCAGCCTGCTCCTGTGCGAGTGAAGTGAGCGCGTCGGGGCAGCCGTTCGCATGGCATGCATAAAATGTGGCCCAGCCACCTCAGTTGGCGCAGTGGTACCAGTCTGTCAAGTGGAAGTCCCGTGTTACCCAAGACGCTACGTCTAACATCATCGTTGTGCACGTTGTTCATCCACCACACTCGAGCTATTCTCCGCAGACATCCATTGTCAAAGGTCGAAGTCCGACGCGTCATTCACACGAATCAGCCAGGACTCACCCCCATACAGCAGCACCGCGCGAACACATGTATTGTAGATCCTGCTTTTTACCAATAGTGAAACGTCTCGGCGTCGTTACAAATGCGTCAAGTTGGCGAATGCCGAACGGGCTTTGGCAATACGGACTGAAATCTCTTTTTCAGCGCTACCATTATCAGAAACAGCTTACCAGGTAAATAAGGTTGCCCACTTGTTCAAGCTGCGTACCTTGAACAGTGAGCACTGGAGCAGGTGGATGCCAATCCAGGACCTGGACTTTGCATTTCGTAGGAGCAAAGGTCGTTCCATATTTTGTTGCTTCAATCGCCAAGCGGTTTAGAACGGCTTGTGTGCTCTATGCGTCATCATCAAGCGAGGCAATATCATCAGCATAATCTAAATCGGTCACGTGGTTGCCAGGAAGAAGCTCTACACCAGCACCCTGAAAGCCCTCCAGAGTGTTTAAAAGGACATCCTCGATCGCAAAATTGAATAGAAACGGGGACATGGGGCACCTTTGTCGTACACCGCTAGTGACGGCAAAAGGTGAAGAGAGCTTACCATAGGCCCTCCCTTTACCTTAGTCATTGCAATATAATGCTCGAACGATGGCGATATACTTTTCGGATACTCCATTCCTTTGTAAGCAATACACTGAAGCTGGTCGGTCGACGGAGTGGAAAGCGTCTCGGATGTCCAGAAAAACAACGATAGTGGGCTGGCGGTAAAGATGACGCATTTCAAGGAGTTGGTGGAGCGTAAAAAAGTGATCTACACACCCTTGACCGGGGCGAAAACCCGCCTATTCTTCACGGGAGCTCAATTCTCGTATCGGGGTTAGTCTGTGGAGTAGAATGGATGTTAACAGCTTGGAGCCAACGGACATTAGACTGATTTCTCGGTAGTTAGCGCATAGGTACGAGCACCTTTCTTGAAGTTCGGGAGGATAATTGACTCGCCCCATGCAGATGGAACTGTTTCTTCACACCAGATCTTAGAGAACAGAGCTGTTAGCTGGTTGACAATAACTTCGCCCCATGAACTTAAACAGCTCTGGAAGAAATCCGTTTGTGCCAGCAGACTTGAATCCTTTCAAGTGTCGGTGCTCAAGGCAGACCTCAGCTTCAGTGAGTGGTTCCAATGAGACGTTCCAAGGCGCGCAACTAAGTATACTCATTAGGCTTGCCGGCGGAGGAGGCCAGCTGAATTGTGTGCGGAAGTGTTCAACCCATCGGTCCATACGCCTGTGTAACTTGCTTACCGGCGTCCCGTCAACCTCGCAAATGACCCCACTGACACCAGATCTTTTGTGACTAGTGGCCCAAATGACCTGAAAGAACTTGCGAAAGTTTCTAGAGAGGGCTGCCGTTTCCATCTCTGAGGCGCGCTGGAACCACCAATTTTCGCGATCAGCACGCAGGCTTTGCTTAAGTTGTTGGTTGAAAATGTAACGCAGTGCACTGCTATTTGTATCGGTCAGGATAGCTCTACGACGATCAAACAATTCCAATGAGTGTGCGGAAATCCAGCCCCTCAGAGTGTGCCTTGTGATTCCGCAGTTTGAATGACTAGAAGTTAGTATCGCTTCACGCGGTGGAGCCTCAATGAATGCATGCGATAAGGAAGCTTGATAAGCTGATCAAGTAGAGAGATAAGCTAACTTGTTGGTATCGAGCGTATGGTGCTTTCTTTTTGAGGAGCCCCGAGGGGCATGCTGATGTCTACGCAAACCAAAGCATGGTCTGAATCGATGTACGTAGACCAAATCGATCTACAACCCCAGACGCTGCCTCACCATCTAAAGCTGACTACAATGTGATCTATTTGTGACCACGCTAACGTTGGTGAAGGACTCCAGGTGGCTGCGTGTCTTCTGGTATGCCTAAAGTTCGTACTTGAGAGGAAGAGACGGTGGTTTTTGCATAAGGTAAGAAGTCTATCACCGTTGTCAGAACCGTTGACTGTCACCAAGTTGACGTTCGCACGGAAGCAGGCGACCTACTCATGCATTGAGATCTCCGACAAGGACGATGACATCTGACTTTTCGGCCTTGTTCAAACAGTTGTGTAGACCACGATAGAAGTTATCCTTAACCGATGCACAGCTAGTCGTTTGGAGCGTAGGCTGAAACGACAGACAAATTGCGCCTCTTTCCACGATGTCTGTTGATTCTACATGAGCCTTGAAGCCGAACCGCACACAGCCGGCTGTCGATTGGAAACCAGTCGAGTAATGCAGCCTCCGCTTTGTCACTCACTGCGATACTGACCAGCTAAGCCAGCTGCTGCTGCCTTCATGACAGACGTAGGTAATATGTGGTCTCAAGAGCAGCTGGGGACGGCAACTTAACCACGGTACTGGGATCCTGCAATCGACTCTCCATAGGGCAACAAACATCGATGGCGATGGACTCTAGAGTGCGCGCCAGGCCAGCCTGTTGTCCAATCTGTAGGTGAATCCTAACATTGAACGCTACCAGACGGAATGAAGTACGGGGTTGAAGGATTGCTGATGGCCGGATGCTTTGGATATCAGCGAGACGGGAATTGAAGTAGATTCAGCAAGTTGCAGAATATCAACAAGAGAAATGTTGACGTGTGGTGGAAAAGCACGAGTAGCAGCAGAAGTAAGCGACATAGTAGTAATTGCGAAAACCATGGTTTTCACGGAGAGCACGATACTACCCGGTTGCCCAAGCCGAAGTATGGAGTTGTCTTAGGGTACTTCACCCCGAGCTTTCGGCTACACAGACAAGCAGTTCATTGGGCCTGATGGGTCACCATTTCTTCAGATACATTAACTTGTCTACAATGCGGACGAGCCCAATATTCTCATCGGTTCCTTTTGGATTGGTGTTCTCGAAGTGGAATGGAGTGCAAATTGCCGAATAAAAATGCCAAACGCCACGTCGTACACCCTATGAGAAAGATACTGAGATCAAGTTTTCCTGAGCTTTGATCGTTGCTATAAATATAGTTGTCTCTGAGGTACCCTACATGGACGGTCGCACTACTTTGTGTCGTCGAGGCTGATTCCGCTCGGTACCCGTTACTTGTGGAAAACACGGTTTTAATTTTTCTTTCTAATTAGCCTACATTTATCCACTATTACGTTTAACCACATCATTGGTGCTTTTACAGTTTCGCATGCATTTTTCTATTTTCTCGTTCCGTTCCAGCTTACATCACTCACTTTGGCACGTTCGAGATGGCTCTGAACGTCTCCAACAAGCTGTACAACACACCGATGAACAATACTTTATCGCGCGCTGTTATTTTACGTGAAGATCCCAACGAACATCCAAATGAAGAAGAAATTAAACTTTATGCCAGCAGTATTGGCATTGACTTAGCAAATGAGCCCGCATTAGCTTGGATCGCAAAGGAAGGCATATCGGCTCCACTGCCCAAAGGCTGGCAAGTTATGCAAGTAAGTCGTTACTCTGTGCTCATTTTGGGTATCATTTTTGTGCTTTGGAGCAAGTAATGCATATTATCATATGAAACATTACATCACTTGCTTTTGAATTCTTTGTAGTGTGCTTTTTGGTTGAGAACCCCAAGCATTCTCCTGTCTAGGCCTGGGCAACCTAACAGTATCCTGCCCACGCAGTACACCATGACCTTTCCTTCTAACAATCTCTTGATGCTTTGGCCGTCGCAGAGGATAATAAACGGCGCCCTATCTGCTGCTTCGAGTAGGGTAGATAGGAGTTTGGATGCTACTGCTCAAGCGTTCCCGTCTTCTTATCCCCGCTAGCGCTTTTTCATCCTTAGCGCGGTGGTCTTTCCAGGCATGAGCTAAACTGCGGAGGCAGCGATGATCGAACGTGGCTAGCCTCTTTATGTCTATCGACCTGATGGGCCAGGTTTCACAACCGTATAAGAGGGTTGGACAGATGGTTGCATTATAAACTCAGCACTTTAGGATGAGAGTGACGTCGCGCCTGCGCTACAGGTGGCGGAGATTGGCAAAAGCACAGAGCTTTTGCTATGCGGTTCGTAATCTCAGCTTCGAACGACTTCTAGCTGATCACCACTAAGTGTCAGCACATGGGTGGGTCCTTGCCAATCTTGGAGAAGAACTTTGCATTTCGACGAAGCAAAGCACAGCACGAAACGATAGACAACCAGTGCTAATCGGTCCATTGCAGCCTGGCACGTTTGGGCGCTGTTACATATGAGATCAATGTCGTCCGCATACTCCAAGTCAAGAAGTCGCTTACCAGGAAGTAGCTCCACACCTTTAAAGTCGTGTCCAGTGAGTGCTATTTCCATGGTTTCATCAATAGCGGTTAAAAAGGAAAGGTGACAGCGGGAAACCTTGTCTCACACTGCTGGAAATATTGAAGGGCGGCCACAGTTTCCCCATAAACCCTCACTTTACCCGAACTATGCGCGTCAAACACTATTATGACACTTACATATTTATCGGTCACATCTTTTCTTAGCCGACAGTCCCAAAGGGCATATCGATCCATCGAATCGAAGGCACCTTTGATGTCGAAAAACGCGACAACGGTGAGTCGCCAACAAACGTGGCGGTGCTCCAACAATTGGCGCAAAGTGAAGATGTGGTCGATGCAGCCTTAGTTTCGACGAAACCGGCTTGCTCTTCCCGGATCTGGCTTTCACTAGCGCCAGTCAATTTGTGGAGAACAACAGAGGCAAGCCATTTAGAGGCAATTAAGATCAAATTGATCCCTCTATGTTTGCCGCTTTCCGAACGGGGCCTCCCTTGAAAATTGGGTCTATGACGGAGCGGTTTCAGTCTGTCGGGACAGTTTCCTGCTCCCAAAGTTCCATTGGCAACTCGTGTACATCATCTACCAGAGCAGGTCCCCCGAATTTGTAGAGAGTTGGGGAATGCTATCTGCACCAGCGACCTTATACAAGTTCAACAGTCTGATCTCACGTTCGACTTCTGCGCGTGAGGGCGGATCTAAGGAGACGGCCCATGGAGGTCACTCGATTCCCGAAAGATAAAGCGAATAATCAGATCGGTTACATTGCCTTGCCCAACGTTGCAACTGCTTTGACAAGCTGTGGATCATCTGTCCACTATCGTCGCGTATTGTCTCGCTAACACCAGGTCTCCTGCTGCGTAGTTCCCGTATCAGACGGTTACCAACGGCAGCGGCTGTTTCCATTTCCGATACACGATGAGACCACGAGCCTTCGCGGCCTTTCTTCAGGCTAGCACGCAGTTTTGCCCTGAGATTTTTGAGAGTCTCATTGTATTCGCTTCCAGCCGAAATACGTTGGTGACGATCCATAGGTTCCAGAGACTGTGTAGAGACCCAATGTCTAGATTGGCAATTTGATTTCCCACATGAAGACATGCCTGTTGATAATAACGTTTGACGAATATGCGATTAGTGATCTTCGACGGTGTTCAGTGGACGCTTACTCAGGCCAGAGGCCAGCGTAGTTTGATACGCATTCAGAACGCCTGGCTTCGCCAGCTGGCTGGTGTCAATGCTCTCAGAGCGACGTTGCGCACGTCCGCCGAAATGCACCCGCAGGTCGGCACATACGAGACCGTGATCGGAGTCCACGTTGGTGCTCCAAATCGAGCGACAGTTTTGGACACAGCCTCTCCAGCGGTAACTAATCGCGATGTGATCGATTTGCGTCCATGGCTGGCCCGAGGCTGGTGCGCGCCAAGTCACTCTCCTGTGTGTTATGGGAATGTTATTGTTCGTGAGAAAGAGACAAGCCCCTTCGCATAGGTGTAGCAGCCGCTCACCGTTATCATTACGGAGCCTACACCATGTTGGCCGCCTAGATGAAGCTCATCAGAGAACAATTTTCCGACCTGAGCGTTTAAATCACCAGCAAGCATCACAGTATCCGTGCTTCTTCTGCAACGAAGAAAATCGCTAAGTTGGTGGTAGAAATTATCTTTCACCGAAGCAGGACTGCAATTTATGGGGGCGTAAGCCGCAATGACAAACAGGCACCGTTTGTTCCCGTGCGACTTCGAAATCAGGAACGAGCCAGCCAACCTAACGGCGCACATCCGACTGTTGACAGGGATCCAGCCGATCATGGCAGCTTCAGCCGGCGGACTCAAAACAAGATCGGCCCTAGCTTGACTTGCATTTGAAGCTGCGTTATCGCCAGACAGGCTCCATCAGAATGTGGCACCAGTGTCGCATGTGATGGATCGCAGAGTAAGCACGGAACTCGAATGTTGCAGGCGAGTTTCCGACAAACAACAGATATCGATCGATAGGGTCTCGAGTGTTCAGGCAAGTGCTGCCTGTTGGCCAATCTGTAGCAAATCGCGCATGTTGAGGCATGCCAGTCTTAGCGAGGTTCGAGGACTCCAAGGGGAGACGGATGAACTGACGTTGTCCGCTTGACTAAACATGGACTTGTCGACTGGATTGCAGTGACACTGTTCGATTGTGTGTGAATTGAAACTAGAAGACAATCGACTATTCAAGCAAGGTGGGAGAGGGCTAAGAATTGGGGGTTGTAAACGGGGGGATGGGAGTGAAGTTGGAACGAGGTGCTAGGGATGAAAAAGCGCTAGCAGGGATAAGAAGACGGGAACGCTTGAGCAGTAGCATCCAAACTCCTATCTACCCTACTCGAAGCAGCAGATAGGGCGCCGTTTATTATCCTCTGCGACGGCCAAAGCATCAAGAGATTGTTAGAAGGAAAGGTCATGGTGTACTGCGGGGGCAAGATACTGCCAGGCCTACAAAGAAGAACAGGTTTGGTGAACGAATTCAACATTTCTACTTCACTCCTGGACGTTTGTCGCATGGATTCTGGATAAATGTACCCATTGCTGAAGTCATCTATACGTGCTACCACAAATCGAAGTTGTGCGTACCTAGACAATTTGTACGCCCCTTCTACTGTGGTCTGCGACGTCCGTCGCGTGATCCTGTTATTTGGTTTTAAACTGATTTGCCCTTGTACCTAATTCGCCACCTTCAGTGACCGCGTGATTTTTTGTACGTTTCCCTTTTAATTATAATTTGTAAGAAATATGCAGCCTTCTCCAGTACATCCGGTATATAGTCGTCATTATGTGATATCCTAGTCGGATAATAGTTACTCACTTCGATTCATCCCATAGAATGGAAATGTTTGGATTGATGAAGATTATAGCATCCCCCGTGATTTTACCAAATTTGCAGTATATTTGTTAATGAAAATCTAGTTAGTGACTGTCGTTCACGTCGTGTACTTTGGACTTTATGGGCATCCACGTGAGCAGTGAAGGTTATGTTGCTTTTGATGTAGGAAAATGCCCGGACATTTCCTCTTGAGGTACCTCTAAATGTGAGGTATCCATTTTGTGTCCCCTCCTTTGTTACCCTCTTCCCTGCACGCTTATCTCCAGTATGTGCTGCTTCGTCGGTGCGCTTGTTATTTGATAACCAAAACGTACCTCATAACCTATGTGTCTTTCTTTATTTATTACATTCAATGTCCTACTTTTTACTAGGATGAGAACAATCAGATTTTTTACTACAATGCCAGTTCTGGCCAAAGCTTATGGGACCACCCATTGGACTCATACTACCGTAGGCGAGTTCTGCAAGCTCGGAAATTGCTAGATCCAAAATCAAGGTCCACCCAACCCACTCTGAGGACTTCCAGTCGATCCTCTGGTCGTTCTTCCTGCTCCACTTTTACCCGTGATTCCAACTGTTTGGCTCCTTTATTACCCCAACACACTTTTACTTCAAACGCTGCCTCCACTGAGGGAACAAAACGAGGTACTCGCTATTTCTGTTTCACCCTCTTATCCTGTAATTGATTCGATCCTAAGTTTCTCACAATATCCCTATTTCCACGAGTTTAACATGCTTCGCTGATTTAAAGAATGTCTAATTTCGTACTGTAGACTCACTGTAATCACATTTATGGACTGCGTAGATTGCTATAACCGTTTGCTAATCACTACATTCACTCGCAAGCACATAAGTGCTCCTTGCCATTGATTTCATCCTAGAATTGCTGCCTTTTTCTCCAAACGTTTACACGTTGTGCTGTAAGAACTCGAGGTGCAAACGGAATTATTCTTTCGAACAGCTTATACGAAAAATTCACTCATCTTCGCACTCCTTGTTAGTGGTTGCTTAACGCGGGTTTCTCTCTTTTTCTAGCACTTGTATGGTGTGCATTGCCTATGCGTCCATTCCTCGTGCCTCGTGCGCATACAACTGCGGTTCCAAACTTTCTTTCCTTTGGGGGAGTCATTACGGTCTGCTGTTGGCCGGTTGCCGTTTCGCATTATTCTACTGATAACTGGCGCAGTACTGTCTGTGTTTAGTCCAGCACGGTTCTGTCGCATGTTGATCATCTTGTCCTTCGCTGGCCATCTGCCGTCCTAATCACTGACACGCACAAGATGTCCGCTGTTCGTGTTTTGTTACATTGCGCAGGATCGAGGTTCCAGGAAAATATACTACCATCTTACACGCAATATACCTCAATGTCTAGAAGTCTCCCACGTCCTCCACCGTCAGTAGCATGTACACTAGAAACGCCCAATTTCCCCGTTCTTCAGGGAAACTTGTGACCGGTTTTGCTCACGATGTCGCCTTACTTGGTGACGACCCGCAGAGTAAGAGACTCACTCTCACGCGCTAGCATCACGCCAGTACTCAATACCCACGCTCCGTGGCCACTCAACCACCAATAATCGTCCGCTAACTTGGGAAACTGCCAGATCGTTAACACCCACGCAGATTTGAACCCGTGACCTGTGGACTACAAAATCGATGCCCTATACCAATCGACTACCGGTTCTTGTGCTCCTTTCTGCACGTACGCTGCTTGAACAGACAGACATAAAAAGGCTAGTTACGTTCGATCATCGCCACCGCGTGAGCACTGAGTGTGTTCTCTGTGTATGAACCGCCCTGCGCCGTTATTCCACATACCAAACTTCGATGGCTGGGCCATGTTGCACATGCGAGCTCACCGACTTCCGCGACGTGCGTTGTTTGCGCAACCGGGTTGTAGATGAAAAAAGAGAGGAGGCCAAGTGATGACTTGGTCAAGGGGTGTGAAGGCTCCGACTTCGAATTTGGCGTCGGTTGGTATCTCCCAGCTGCCAGTCTTGGGTCCGAAGGACGGTGAACACGTTTGGCGAATAGCCGACCTTCATAGTGTTTGTGTTGCAAGTTTCTTTGTTCCTCTCACTCACATTTAGCTTTCACTTCCAACCACCTTCTCACACTTAATGCGTTATATGATACAAGGCATCATATTACTTTTTGGATTTTATATTGTATTCTGTAATGTTCCATATCGCCTTTTATATATCTTATCTTTTTGTGTTGGACACAGTAGATGAAGTGTATTTCTTACCACCTAAGTGGCATGGCTCTGCCAATGGCACCAATGTGAAGAAATTGTCTTCGCATTGTCAAAAACTCGGTTACCCTTTGTCAATATGAGGCACTTGTGACACCGTTGAAGGGCAGTTAGGGATGATTCCCTTCGAGCGAAATCGATGTATGGAGGTGGGTGTTGATCAGTCCGCGTGGATGACATGTATCGGTTTTCGACCTTGGATACTTAGTGTGTGAGGAGACTGTCCATGTTTTGTAACACCGCCGAGTTGGGAGATACAAGTCTTCCTCTCTACAAGCTTGTTTATCTGCACCAATTGGGGTGGTTCGGTCACTTCCTGCGCGTGTCATACGTGCGTTTACCGCACTCCACCCTATTCGCTTGTGCAGCACAGGGCTGGTAGAGTTCGCGTGGTGGTCAGCTTCGCATTCGATGATAACATGAAGTCACTGTGCATGATTGTTCAGGTCCGGAACCATTCGAACCAACGGCAGCTGGGGTTGACTTATCGGTTGTTATGTTGCTCATCGAGTTAGCCTTGGTTGGACCCTCTGGACTTTCTGGTTTGTGTCCGGATGGCGATGTTCACGTTTGGTTTTGTACACTTGGGACATAGCCAGTAGCCAACTTCAATGGTGTTTGTGTCATGAGTTTATTTACTCCACTCCGTCCCGCTTCGTCTCCCTCCTCGACCAGGATCTCGTTGCCATTGTACAATATGAAACAAAGCATAATACTATTTTTGTTTTGCTTTTGTCATTTTATTTTGTTTGAACCTCTACCTCTAATTGTATCGTAATGAGGCATAGTAGCTGGGGTGTTTCTCATCGTTAGCTAATTGGTAGATTGAATGAATGAATCTGCTAGCAGTAACTATCACGTATCTGAACTAAGGCGATTTGTTCATTTTGACGTGGTATTGTGATCTTCACTACCTGGTACTCAATCACTCCTGTCAAAGCAGCAGACGCGCCACTGGTGTCGACTGCGAGCCATGTCCTGTGGTCTCGAGCCAAACACAATGCGGGTCACGTGGACTCCAGCCTGGAAGGCGAGACGGATCGACAGCACCGAGCTGTTCATCACTGACTTCATTTTACGCTGCCAAGTTACTTTTTGCTCACCTCGGGCCTTGCGCCACCCTACATCTGGCAAACAAAACAAAGTCATTCTTCGTAAGTGATGCTCGAGCATAGCTGCCTAAGCCAAAGCAACTTACTCAGTGCTATCAGTTGTTCTGAGGAACTAGCTTGGTTATCACTGCCTAGTACTCGCCTATGCACATCATTGTTGCGGACACGCTGGTGCCACCCGACACCAGCAATGCTTCGCAAACAACGATGATCCAAGACTTGAAGGCGCCGCAAGTCCTCAGGTCGGAAACGTCAAGTGTCCCTTCCGTAGAGTAGGACGGCCCTCACTGTGGCCTTGTATACACAACCTTTCTGACCCTACTTATTCCAAAAGACAGTTCTGGCTTTCGCAATGCGTGAACTGACTTCAGTTGCTATGCGACTATCGTTAATAATGCAGCTACCAACGTAAGTGAAGTGATCAACTCATCATCATCATCATCATCATTATACATGTCAGCTAGAGGTGGTAAAACACCTCCGCTATTGTACCGCAATACATAAAGGGAATACATACATACATACAATACATAAAGGAAAAATAAATACGACAGTTGCATGCCAGCTGAGCTACCAGCAACGGATAGGCATCGTTTCGGTAAGCTACCAGCCGGCTACTAGGCAAAAAACAACAATTTAATTACGTTTTACCCTATGAAATAAAATCGTAGATGGAGGGGGAGGCTAAAGGGATGGGGAGGGACAAAGAAACTCACAACAGGAACGCCACTGAGGTCGGCTCCTTGCCATGTCAGCAAGTGTATCCAGCCAAACGTGTTCATCGTCTTTTGGACCCCAACCAGGGAGCCGTGAAGCTCCAATCGAAGCTAGTTCCGAAGTGAGGGATTTCATTCCTCTGGACCAAGTCATCGCTTGGCCACCTCTCCTCTTCTTCCACCCACATCCCCGGTGAGCAAACAACGCACGTCGAGGGAGTCGGTGGGCTGGCATGCGCAACACGTGGCTCAGCCATCGGAGCCTGGTGAGTGAAATGACGGTGCTGAGCGGTTCATTCCCTTTTCCTAGGCCGTAAACAAGGCGTCGAACACGCTCGTTACTCACGCGGTGTTCCCACCAAATGTGAGCCAAACTGCGAAGGCACCGATGGTCGAACGTAAGTAGCCTCTTCAAGTGATCAACTACTTCGAGTTCCTCGCCATTAAGGGTCAAGGGATCATCAAGTGGCTGGTGGTCCTCTAACTGCACTGGACATTGAAGGTCCGAAGCGCATGCCAAATGTTTGGACCACTAGATCAACTAGATTCTTACCAGGCATTACCTCGACGCCTGCATCGTGAAGCTGCGCAAGGGAACACTTCATGATGGCGTCCACGACGAATTTGAACAAAAATGGGGAAATTGGACAGGATGTATCGGTCTACTGAATCGAACGAGCTTTTGAAGTCGAGAAACACAGATACTATCGGCTTGCGGTACATGTGGCGCTGCTTCTAACACCTACCCCGTCCTGGGCGGAAGCCTGCATGCTCTTCCCTTATCCGGGTTTTTCATTCCGCAGTGAGGCGACGAACGAGAACTGAGACCATGAAATGCGTCACCACCGGCGTTAGGCTAGTGTCTCTGTGGTTAGCACAGTCGGTGCGACTGCTTTTCTTGTATGTCGCCACTATAATTGATTTACTCCAGTTAGTTGGAATTGTATCTGCCTTCCAGACTTGCCCGAAATGCTAGGTCAGTGCTTTGCAGAGGACCTCACCACCATCCTTAAATAGTGCGGGTGCGAGGGAATCTGGACCAGCAGCACGAAAAAGATTAAGGGCTGCAATCGTGTTTCGGACTCTGACGGAGTCTTTAGACTAACTAGCCATGGCTCAGCCCGCAACAGCGGGGTAGCAAGTGGTCCAGAAGCAGGGGGACAACTGCACTCCGCTCAAAAGTGCTCCGCCCAACGAGCCATACGGCGATGCTTCTTGTGAATCAGGCATCCGCGCTGTTCCTGATTGTTTCACTGACGCCTGGTTTTCAGGAACCAGTGGTGTGATCAGCTAGTAGAACTTACGATAGTTACCTACTGCTCCTGCTTCCTCCATTTTTTGAACCCTACTTGCCCATCAAGCTTCCTTGTCAGCACACAGGCTCCTCTTTAGTTCTTGCCTAAGGATCTGCCTGGTGACATTCTGCTCAGAGCCATCCTGTCCGCATGCAGCAGGGTGGTGGCACTGATTAAGTTTTACTGATATGTATGCCATCCCATTTGAAACCCCCAACCTGAAGGACCAATAATGAGTTCTTCTGTTTTCTAATCATTGACTAATTTGGTAGGAGTAGCTCATAAGAGGCCCAAGGGCCCAACCCACTATAGCTCAGTGGGTCAAGGAGGTACGCAAACTGTCACACGACGTTTAGAATAAAGAGGAACTCCCTTATGGCACAGGCTGTTGCAGATTATTTAGTGTAATTCTGGTTTTGCATTAAATGAACTAATTTCAACAGCCACATACCGCCACCACCAATGCACCTGTCATAGGTGACTCCACCAGTCCACCTATGTCAGTGGTCAGAGGACTGATGATCCTGCATCACAACCTCGCGCTTTGATGTTGCTAAACACATACAAGAAGATGGAATCATTCCGGATGATTTTTCTAGGTTCTACTACTCCTAGTATTCTGTTTACTTAGAGAATCAGTCTCCGACTCACGCCAGCTACTTAGCACGGCGCTCTTAATACTTCGACAAATTGATTCACCACTCGAGGTTAATGTCATTTGTGAGATAGCAGGCACGAATTTTTTTACAAGCTAGAGTTGCAACCAACTGGTTTGTTGATTGGTCACCTGTTTAACAGTTAGTTGGATGCCGCCTTGCGTGAACTGAGACTGCGTTGATTCCTAACATTGACTTCCAACTCACAAGCCCCCTACTTCTGTTTTTGCATATAGGCGGGTGCACAGATCTCATTGTATCATATTCTTGTGAGAGGCTGCGATCGCCTCTACGAACTGCTCAAGCTACACTTTACTAAACTCAACACTTGCCTGTTTCTTTTCGGATGACTGGTGACATCTGATGAGACTGTTTTGCATATCACCAAAGTCATTTCATCATCTTCATAAACTAGCGATACGGAGTGTCGGACGTGGATGACCGCAACGCCTTTTATCATTAGTTGTTTTTGACCAGCTGCAATTCCCCTGCTTGACAGTACTCGGTATCACAGTGCTGTGGGACTCCACCTCCAGTTTTTTTTATCACATCTTGCTTCTTTTATTCAGATGGCGATTTGGAACTAAATACCGCTGATTGTACTGAGCAGGCACCTGATTGGGCTGACACTCCTCTGCTGGGTGAAGAATCTCGGGGCAATTCGTCCGTAGCGGAAAACAAGGGCCTCATTGGTACTGCTTTTTTCATGTCAGAAACCGAACTTCCCACAGAGTATTGCGAGTTGGTCCCCTCCCCGTCGGTGACTGCGAACGGAAGCAAACCCCATTCACAGTGCCACTCCAACAGTGTGTTGCCCGAGGGTACAACATCCCAAACGACTGCAACTGCAGCTCAGACAGATGCAGATAGTCATGTCACTTCTGCACATCTCAACGAAACCGCAAGATGTAACTCCGAATTAGCTGGAGCGGGTAACAACTCGGAACAGTTGCAGCAGACAGATCCTAACGATTTTCAGTGCAGTGGCAACAGTGTTGTGCCAAACGTGAGCACGATTCATCAGGGGCTTATGTCGAACGTGTCAATGCTCATGCAACAAAGGTCCGTTTTGTCTGTTGTGAACACTAATAGACGGACTGGTATCGAATCTCCTTTGGCTTTCGATCGAAAAAAAGACGACACCGAAAGCACTAATCATTTCATACTGAACAGCCCTGCTTGTAGGCTACATCGATCGGTGGAAGTGTTGGCTTCTTATCCATCACTTGGCTCTTCTCCAACGGAAAGCAGATCGTATCAACCCCTTCTGCCGGCCACAGACGCCTTAGACGAAGGACTCCCGCGGGAACAACCCGCCAACAGTCATGTTACCAACATCAACAAACAACCGGCATTTCGCACCGCACATGAACCACCGGTTCTCTCACTATTGCATGCTACAAATCCGTGTCCAACACTCTGTCAATCCACGAAAGTACCAGGCTGTCCGGATGCCGAGCCCGCTCCTGATACTGCGGTTCATCCACCTAGCCCACCAAATAGCACTCCGGTGTTCAATGAGGGGATTCACCATTTGGTTGAAGAAAGGGCCCGTCTGCAACGGAAGTTGCTTCGAATTAAGGTAAAAGCCAATCATCTCATCTCTTAAACAACTTTTTCCTTGCCTATTTCTGGTTTATCTCACTCGTCCTCTCGATTACTGTTGCCTGTGATCCAAGTTCTGTGCTGCAGTCATTCATCGCATCACGACTATCTTAGCTGCTCTGCCTGGTGCAAGGAAGAAGTAGCTTCTGATTGACGACTGTGAACCGTCGTATCTAACCTCAAAGGATGTCATGTGAAAGCCATCAGTTTTATCTCTATTATTTCCAAACTACTGACATACATCATGCTTCCGCGGCTTACTGAGAGACGAATCAGTGAAAGTCATGCTGACTTTCGCCTCGGCATAGAGTTCATCAACCACATTTATACTCTCAAGCATCATTGTGCTTGCAAACCGCCTATTCTGGTTCACTCTCTCGTGGACTGCCTTTGCTTTTACTAACCATGCTTCTTTGTGGCGACACATCAGTCTGAAAGGCGTCTTCTGGAAAACTTTTCTCTACATTCGTTACAAAAATGGAGTAGGGGTTTCGCTAGGTGGCTGACCCTAGAATATGCGGATGACATGTCTCTTTGGATTGGGCCAAGTTGCATTGCGATCGTCAGCGTAATAATAATAATAATAATAATAATAATAACAACAACAATAATATGTCAGCTGTACGCCGTAACGGCGCTTCGCTGCCGTGCAACCACCACCGGTCGCACACAGGCTAAGTATAGCGCGAGGACGCCCACCCCTACGCGGATTCGAACTCGCGCCGCAAGAGTACGAGACAAGCTCGTTGCCTATAGGCTAGGGGCCGACCGATCACCAATGAACAGTGATTTATCACGGGTAAAAATTAGGTGCCTGACAAGTCCTGTAGGATGGTTGGGGTGAAAACTACGAAATCAAGGGGTCTATCTAGTTAACTACTTTACTGGATAATGTTAGTGTTAACTGAAAATCGAATGCAAGCACATCGGCTCGGTAAATGTTGCTCAGTACAATACCCTACTTTCTTGAGCCATCATGGTTGACCTAGTGGCACGGACTTGAGATCGGCCGTTGCCTTTCCAACGAACATCACTACGCTATCTACTGTGGATATATCAAATTATGGTCAAATTATTTCCATTGTCATCGCGCTCGTTTTACTCTATCTGTATTTTGAATATGAGGGCCTATATACTGCACATGATTCGCGACTTGTTGCTTTGTGATAGGAAAACTTAAACCAATTATGAAGAAACGTTTCGGCAAAACGTTGTCCTATCACATAGATACAGCTACCGAGGAATCCGTTCAGCAGTCAGGGATCATTACTCCGGAATGCGGTACCGTTTACTCAAGTGATAGTGCACCCTATTCCATTTAGTTTATCCATTTGTAAAATTATTATTTTTATTATGTCATTTTAGCCTATCTGCAGCTGATAATGTATGGTGCTGAAAATGCATCCAACCGGGTACGTAAAGCTAATCCTGACTTTACTCATCTTATGATTTAAATGTCATTGAGTGAATTTCCTTTCCGCTGCTGTAGTACTGGTCCTCGCCGGTTTATGTGAACAGTGGTTTTCTGTGGTCCGGCCTCACATCTGTGCGGACACTTTCGTGTTGTGCTCACAGTGCTGCAGACTGCTGTTTCTTATCTTCAAGGTGCCAGGTACCGCTGCGGAATTCGGCTGATATACCATAGATTTTCACCATCACTAGAATATCTGCTGGTAGTGGTGGGTCGACTCACTTACTGTGTCACTTATGGTGATTAAGTTATGCAAAATGTCGCCTAAGTTATACGAAGATCTCTGAAGCTTTTTGAGTCACCGACAATCTGTGAAAACTGCGTAGTTGTACATCAAGAAAGCGGTATCCGCACTTGCCCCCGTAGCTTGCTGCATCCCATTAGGATTAGCAATTTAGCAATGCCAAGACTCACCGGCTAGTGTGTAGTAATAAACTCGTCGTCGTTTTTCGAATTTACACCTATGTTATTCAGCCGCCAGCTGTACGTACAGCTGTCACACTGGAAATCGTGGCTCCAGGAGCTAGCCCTGTCATCTGCCAAGTTCGTAACTCGTATGACAGTGGTGATGAGCCGCGTTGTATCGCAGTTAGCTTGTAAGTCTTGACGGTTTGCTCCGTCACTCACTGCCTATTGGTATAACTCACTGGCGTCGTGAAATCATGAGGTCAGTTTCTAATGGAACCGGGGGATGCGCACCACGGACGAGTCCCAGCGGGTCAAAACAACCGTCTATTACTTTTCCGGATACGTAGGAGGATGTTTGACTTGGAACCATTGCGAGGAACTTTATACTCACAACTGTATTTCTTCTCTTCATTATAATATTTCGTTGTCCCACTTCATCTCTTCTCGCTGTTATTGTTATAGCGATGCGAGTCATGGCCTTTGGTTCCATTGCTTTTCGGTGATGATTCTACTCACACCTCCTTTAGAGAAGGAACAACTATCCTTAGCTACTCTCAAAAGTAACATCTCTCGCTTCACACAGTTTTCAATTTCCTCTGATGCCTCCTTATAATTCCCTCTTCGTTCTTGGTCTTAAAATTCGAGGATATCTTTTCTTGGTTCTTGGGCATCATTGCGTTAAACTTTTCCTACTATTTGTCCCATTTATCAGTTACATTGCTTCTCATCGGATTTCATCATCATCATCACACTACACCTTAGCTGGAGGTGGGGAACACCTCAGCTACTGTGCTGCAGTACATAGAAAAAGGAGAAAAAAAGCGACTGGTTAAAGCTGGCTGAGCTACCGGTAACGGATGGGCATCGTTCTGGTAAGCTACCGGCCGGCTGCTGTGCATCCAAAAAAATTACTGTGCAAAATTATATAAGGCTAAATAATGAGATCGTGGTTGGAGGGGGAGGCTAAGAGGGATGGGGTGGGACAAAGAAACTCACAGCACGAACGCCACTGAGGTCGGCTCCTTGCCATGTCAGCAAGTGTGTCCAACCAAACGTGTCCATCGTCTTTCGGACTCCAACCAGGGAGCCGAGACGCTCCAACCGAGGCCAGCTCAGAAGTGAGGGCCTTCATTCCTCTCGACCAAGTCATCGCTTGGCCACCTCTCCTCTTCTTCCACCCACATCCCCGGTGAGCAAACAACGCATGTCGAGGGAGTCGGTGGGCTGACATGCGCAACACTTGGCCTAGCCATCGGAGCCTGGTGCGAGAAATAACGGTGCTGTGCGGTATATGATCTTTTTCTGGGCCGTAAACAAGGCGTCGAACACGCTCGTTGCTCACGCGGTGTTCCCACCAGATGTGAGCTGAATTACGAAGGCACCGGTGGTCGAACGGAACTAGCCTCTTCATGTCCGCCGATCTTAGGGGCCAGGTTTCGTAACCGTACAGTAAGGTCGAACGTACCGTTGCGTTGTACACTCTACCCTTCAGGGCGAGAGATATGTTGCGCCGCCATAGGTGGCGAAGGTTAGCAAAAGCACTTCGAGCTTTCGCTATACGGTTCGGGATCTCGTCTTCGATCCCAAGGGCGCTGATACAACTTCCCAGGTAAGTGAATTTCTGAACGACTTCTAGCTGATCCCCACCAAGGGTCAGCGTAGGACGCGGTCCAGACCAATCTTGGAGGAACGCTTTGCACCTCGAGGGTGCGAAGCAAAGCCCTTAAATGTTATCAACTCGTGAAAAGATCGGATCGAAACATTCTGGATACCCGGAACAGTCATAGTATAATATGTTGCTCTAAACCGGTGTAACATCATTCCTCCCCTCCCCTTCCTCCCCATTCTGTAGAATGTGATGAGGCTCTTCAGAGCAATTTTCCGCACTGATATTCCTCATTCTGGCAATTCTAACAAGGTTGATCTGTGACCTCATCGACTGCTTAATTCGTCTAACTGACAACGTGCAACAAGGGGCTTTCAAGCCTTTTCTCCATATTCACCTCTAGTAGTGTCTTTTCAGTACGCAGCTCACGGTCATGATAATACAGCACTCCACTTCAAATATTCAAACTCGGTGTGTCGTGCGCAGCTTGCGACTCTTCGGTGAATTCCAGGCAATCTTCCACATCGGTAAAGGACGCATCAAAGTTTGATCTCAGTCGTGATTGCGCTCTTATCTAGGCAGTAAAATGATGGGAGCCGTTAACTCGAACGTTTGGTTTGAAAGCCTGACCATAAGCTAGCGACATCTTGGCAATGGCTCACAGGTTGTTATCTTCACGAAAATCCGTGTAATTTTAGATCAAACCTCCAGTCTATGGGATCAAGAGTCATGTTTTCTGGCCTCATAGCGCATAGTACAGATAATATATGAGCCTATGGCAGACTGTCGCCGCTCTTCTATATCCCCAACGGTGTGAGACAGGGATGCCCGTGGCCACTAGCCCTTCTTAACGTCGCCATTGACGAAGTCATGTAGACAGCGTTCACCAAGCAGGACTTAGTAGGTGTGGAGTTGCTTCCATGGAATCAACTTGTTGATGTGAAGTATGCCGACGATCTCACCCTAATGTGTGACAAACCAAGATGGATTGGTATATTCAGTCGTTTCGCGCTTTACTTTACAACCAAACGTACAACTCTTCCCTCCAACATTGGCAGCGACCACACCCTGATTTGACCCTTAGCGGGAATAAACTAGATGTTCAGAAATGTTTCTACTTGGGTAGCTGTATCAGCGCCTGTAGGATAGGAGTGACAAATAGTATAGCAAAACCTCCAGGCGCTTTCGTTCAGCTACATCACTTACGTCAGCGGTGCGATATCACCTTGTTAAAGTCTATACGTGTGGAACTAATGCAAGCCTGCTAATGAAGTAATGGCTGGTAGCCGGACGACGCAAGCACAACAGAACATGCCGAGCTGGCAGCACTAAACGTGTATTTTAGTATGGGCATCGATCAAGTAGCTGAGGCCACGCCACTAGTGAGCGAGTAATCGCTAGACAGACATACACGCGCACATGTAGGGACAGTCAACATGAGTAGCGATAATGACCCATCACATTCCTCTTCCCTTTAGTTGACACTCCCCCAGACAGTCTGGTAACGATCAGCCGGATGGCGTACTCTAGTCGATCGGTGTATTGGTTGGGCTTCTGGCTGGCTTGTATTCTATATGACCTCCACGACTGCTGGCTCGGTTGACGGGCTTGGCAATGTGTCATCTGATCTGATTGAGACAGAACGATAGCGGACGTGATCCACAGGACAGGTAATAACCCTGTCGTCTGGTAGTGCAACCTCCGCGTAACTCTGCAGGCTGACAAGTCGGTTCGTGGGGCAGTTTGACGTAAACTGGCTCATCCTCGCCTTAGCTTTCTCCTATCGGACCCCGACGCGTAGTCTGATCAGAAAAGAGTAGGTATAGCCGAGCTCTATGTCTTCGGCCAAATATCAGTTTGCCTGGATTTTTCACTTAGAGCGATAAGTGAATTAAAATTTGTCCAACTTCGGAGTGGAGCGGGTGATTGTTTCCCCAACCCGCTTTTCACTACCTGGACTGCTCTTCCCACTAGTCCATTTGAGGCTGGTAGCGGTCTTCACATGTCTGATGCCGTTCTTTTGGAGGAACTCTTAAAACGGTTGACTAGTGTGAATAGAGCCGTTGTCTGTCACTAGTGTTTGTGGAATACCGAATGTGCTAAAACACGTTCGCATCTGTCGGCCGGTGGCCGAGTGGTCTGCGCGTTTGGTTTGCAACCGTAAGGCCACCGGTTCGAATCCGCGTAGGGGTGGGCGTCCTCACGGTATACTCAGCCCGCGTGCGACTGGTGGTGGTCGCGCGGCAGCGAAGCGCCGTTACGGCGTACAGCTGACACATTATTATTATTATTATTATTATTATTATTATTATTATTATTATTATTATCTAAAAAACGATTGTCTTGGAATTGGCATGTCAGTGGGAGTACTTCAATCCATTTGTAGTTTACATCGACGGAAGAAAGTAGTCTTGACGTATGCGCTCCAATGGCTTGTCGGGCCATTTGCATGGACTCAGTGACACCGGCGGGACGTTTCTTTGTGTACTTTGACATGCTCCACAGTGTGTGATCAATCTTTCTGTCGCGAGCTCTCATTCTGGTGGTATCTGGGTGGGCTTCGTGCAGTTTCTTCAGCACATACTGTCGTAACCGAGGCGGTATAATAGCTCTGGACCCCATAAGAGGTAGTCATCTTTGAGGTTTATTTCTGTACGTCCGACGAATTAATGCAACAATTCCGGGTCACATTTATCAGGCCATCCTTGGATGATCAAACGTTTAACTTTGCAGACATCACGCTCTGTCTCACGGCGGATATGCACGTTCAACATTGGCTTCCTGGTCAGTTGCTGCATTAAATGGACTAATTCGGTCGGTTCCAATACACAATCGGGCAGATTATTCAACGGCAACCGGCTCAAGGCATCCGCAGTGCCGTTTGCTTCTCCAGGGACAACCTGATAGCATAACGCACAACACTGCATACGGGGAGATGATACCCGGTTGATGCTCTTATGATCACCAATCAAGGCTAATGGGGGTTAATGACCAGAGACACTGGTGAGATTTCTTAATGCCGAATATAACTGCCAATGTTCCCTTATCTAGCTGAACGTTTTTCTCTACCGGCGCTAAGATAAGCGATGGGTTTCTCGGTCTGATCATCCATCCTGTGGGACAGTACAGTGCCGATCCCTGATGCTGAGACGTCACATCACACAGTGATGGACATCCTCGGATCGGAATCTACTGGCAGATTAACCTTACCCATGGTTACCTTGAGAGCATCTAGCAGACCACTGTCACTTGGCGTTTTATGTAGTAAAGCGTACAGAGCTGCCAGGGTAGTGACCAAATCAGGTAGGAAGCGACTAGTGTTACCATACCAAGAAAGGATTGCAGCTCGTTGGTGTTACGTGGTCTCGGAGAGTCAGGAATGGGCTGCACTTTTTCGCTTAGCGAGTGCAAATCGGAATCGAAGGTCTTGAACATTGCGAAAAATACACATTTGGATCCACTCAGCTTGAGTCCACTGTCTTGGAGACGTTTCAAGACCGTCGCAAACGATTTCATGTTTGCGGTCATTGCTACCAGAAACTAGAATGTCGTCTAGATAAGCGCATACACTGGGTATTATTTTCACCAAATTGCCCACAATCCTCTGAAACACTGCTGTTGTCGAATGTACTCCAAATGGAGACCTGTTGTAGCGGAGCAGATTCATGTAGCTCTACTTAAGAGTAAGCGTGGCATAAATGAAGTTTGGAAAATTTCGGCCACATAGCTGAGTTGCGTATAAGTCACTTACCGTAGAATAGAGTAGTGTTCTGATGTCGCCGCTTGGTTAACAGTTAGTTTATAGTCACCACAGATATGGACGATACCATCGTGCTTTTGTGCTGGAACAATTGTCCTGACACAAGATGAGTGGTGTACAGGCAATAATATTTTTGTAAGCGCTCTAGCTCTTAACTTGCAAAAGGTGTGCTCCTTGCCTTGGAAAGTTTCGTATGGGTGTGCAGTCTGATATCCAAAGAAATTTTGAAATCACTTATTTTACAGGGCTGTTTCATCAAACACATAAGCGAAACGAAGAAATGCCTGGAATATGGTTCATTTTCATGGTTCGTAGTAGTTCCGACATACATCTGAGCCAGTTTCTACCAAGCAAGCTCGGGCCATCAGTGTTAACAACAGTTAATGGAAGGGTAAGTGTCGGCCTCCTGAGTAACCCTTACTTCACACATCGATTGGTTCCCCAGTGTAAGAGCCTGAAGCAGACTGCGCCGGGACGAGCAGCAGGTCGGACAGTGTACGATCGCTAACGAACGTGATTGAGGCCCCCGTAACGATTTCCAGGAGCACAGGTTAGCCTCCAATTCCACAGTGTATGAAGGTATTCCGCGCACACGCAATGTGGTAGTATGTGGTATCAAGTTATATATGGATTCACCGGGATTCTCTACTGTCTGGACTGACGCGATTGTAACTCACGCCACACACTCTCACCTCGAAGAATAAAACAATCGAAGCTGCCCTGTTTACAACAATAGTCGTGAAAGCTGACCCATCAGATTGACGACATAAAAATGCCACCAGTGACTCCGCTATTTGGCTCATGTCTGGTGGGAACACCGCGTGAGAGCAATGGACATGTTCTGCGTCTTGTTTATGACTCAGACAGAGGAAGTGAACCGCTCAGCACCGTTCTTCCACACATCAGGCTCCGATAGCTGGGCCACGTGTTACGCATGCCAGGACACCGACTCCCGTGACGTGCGTTGTTAGCGCGATCACGGTGAAAGAAGAAGAGAGATGGCCAATCGATGATTTGGTTAGGATAAATGAAGGCTGTCACTTCGAACCTGACCTCGGTTGGAGCCTCCCGATACACTTATTGATATGACGAAGAACCTACGTCGGCGACGCTTGTATTGTGAGTTTATTCGTATTTTACACTGTACTGTTTTCGCTCTTTCCTTTACGTGGATATAATTGTATTATGATGTGACATAGTAGCTTAGTGTCTCCGCGCATCTGTTTGACTCCTATGTTAGCTTGCAGAGTCCAGTGACAAATGAGCGTCTCTTGTTTTTAATATATGTAAATCAAAAATAAAAGTTGGTATAAACCAACACAGTAATGCAATCATTTTGATCCGTCTCAGGCGTTCTAGGTAGGACAGCGGATTTGTCATTCTAGTGTCCGGGGATGAATTGTTTTTGCACGTAGCATGACGTCAATTTTCCCGCGATTTGTAATTGATTTTGGTTGTATTGAATGGAGCTCTTACAACTACGGTCCTTTGGAGCCACTGCGTACTTTTGTGACTATCCAGCTTTGCATCGGGCCACAGCGAAATAGGCATAGTTGTGGCAAAGAAGCAAACGTGGGTAGTTGAAGTTCAGACGAACTGTCTGTTGAGTTTAATGACCTCTGGTCACCAGTTGAAGTGACATCATCAATGTGGTGATATGTGGCGTAACGGAACGATGCCTAAGTAGATATTTGCCTCGCTCCGCTGTGCCCAAATCTTGTGAACCCTTTCTGTATACTTACTCCACACTTCGGCTAGTTTGTTTATTGATGCTTGCTTGCCACTTCACACCATGTGTTTCGCTTCGGGACGCCACCAAGTGGCCTCATCTTCTCGGCTGACATCAGGCTGATCTGGAACCGAATCCTTCTCTGGTATTACTCGTACTGGTGTTTTTTCATCTATCCGAACGCCGTTTTTCATCATTTCCCAAGCAGTTACCGAAGTTCCTCATCCTTACGCCGTTGTTCCATCCGTTCTCCTTTTCTTCTAGCTCATCTACAATAGCTACAAGCAGCGCCTCGTTAGCTTAGATTCCAGTATACAACTACTGCAAAAGTCGTCCACATCGGACCCGGTCTTCGCTCCACACGAAGCAGGATCCCGAAGTCGAACACGATCTGATAGTGCCTTTACTTCGAAAAAAGCGCCACGGAATTCCAAGGGCCATCTTCCTACCATCACAACGTCTCCGCTCCTATTTGACTTTTCTTCAGCTGAACCCGCCTCTCCCGGTCCCATTCGACAAAATCTGCATCATTCACCCGAAGTGGTGAAACCAGAGGTCGTCAATATTCGTGAAGATATCCTGCTGTCATCCCATACCCCTTGCACCAACCGATCCAAACTAGGCCGTTCTTTATCTACACCCCGACATACAGTGTCGTCGCGCGGGTCGATTCTCACTTCAAGACCGGTCGGAAATTGTCCACCGAACACATCTAGTCATGACCAGTCTCCACCTATGGACTTAGCCCACTCTCTGGCTAGCATTGATGCTCAGCTGCACCGAGTCATAAATCATTTGGAGTCCGGTGATCTTTCGATAACTTGTGATGAGTGCGTTAATGAGAAGCATATGATTTTGAAAACAAGAAACGCTTTCTGTGACCAACGCCGACTGAAGCCTTACTGGAAAGACCACCGAGATATAGAGAATGAGATGCAAAATCTGTCCTTACAAACCCAAGCAAGGGACCGTAAGTCAATCGTCGGTGAGTCGTGACTAGCTCCAAAAATATTTATAATACTTATTTATCAATTTCTTAAGTGTCATCATCAATGGAGAGTCTGAACCGCCCTGTTCACTTAAATCTTTGTTTTGTGAACACTACCATCGGCATGCTATGTTGATATCGATAATATTCCTAGTATTTACCACTCGCCGTCCTTGGGGTCTCCGCGATCGGCTTAGGCATTGGAGTATCCCGAAAGATACCACACTCCCAAATATTGCCACCACTACCGAACAACACAATCGTGACTGCAAGTCGGGTGTATGCTGATTATTTGAGCACGTTCGCCGAAAACCCCGTCTTGAGTCATTCATAAGGCCCACGTCACTTTGGGAGCTGGTGAGCGCATCGTCAAAACCCCTTTGTCGCTCCTTTCAATATTGTTCTCCTGTTTACTTGGGCTTTAAGCGTATCTTCTCCCCATGTCGTCGATTCGTAGCTCCTCATAAGGCAATCGTCCGTTGTTTCCGGCAGTTTTTGTGTTACACTGTCACCCACTCTCGACGCGTTCATCATATTTACCGGCTTCATCTACGGATGCTTTCAGGTGACATAAGATTGCTCACGCCCGTTTCATTGGAGGATAGAAAACTCGGCTTTCGGTGTCCACGCGTCGACGCTAGCCCTACTTGGCTTCAATCGGATTGATCTGTATCCACAGACTTACATTTTAAGCTCTTTTTACAGACACTCAGGGAAATATTTTGTTAAACCTATTTTATGAAGATTTACTAGCCCATATTATGTATTTTTATAACAATGAGCATTTTACCGAACTGTGTTTAACTTCTGATTTGTCCGATCGATAGCAGCGCGGATTGTGGTTCCAATGCAGTTACGAAAATCGGTCGTCATTACAGGAACCAGAGAAGCACGCAGTATGCGGATCCAAATATGCATCTTATATGAGGATTCATTTCAATAACAGAGGTTGTGATGCTGGTGTTTTTAGTCGCGCGGCCAAATGAGGAAAGTTTTTGATAGACCTCGTTTTTTCCGAAAAACTGATGGAACGTCATCTTATGAGGTTGATACTTTTCGAATGAAGTCGAAATGCCTGTCCTGCTAATGGTTTCCGCACATACTTATTATTGTTATTCGGCATCGCCAGAGACTCAGTACATGTAGCCATAATTACCATCATCTGGACTAATCGATCCGACTTAAACTAAGATGGTACTGTCTTTTATTCGTGGCACAGACTTAAGAGTCCAAGAGAGTGCAGAACGATTCGGCGCTCGTAACGGAAACGGATACGTTGAGACCCGTTGTGGAATGTGGGGAGATTCAGCACAGTTTGATGGTGGCTAGGCCTGTGATGCACAGATTCGGTCCTGCGCGACTACCGGGTCGTGTGGCAACGGAGCGTTGTTTCCACGGCTTGTTAGCCTGAGAAGATATCTGCATTGCAGCAAACAGGACGAAAGAAGGGCGCCTTTAACGGACTCCTGTGGACATCCGAAGAGAATGATCACTTTAGAGTTTACCTGTTTCTAACCGGCTTAATAGCTTGACTGAGGCTAGAGGAGCAAATCCAGCTCACAATGTGGTCGAAGCTTTCCACGAGGATACGTTTGGATGTTGTCACACGCAGGCATAGGATAAGCTTCTGTTGTAACAGATGCCGCGCATGAAATCGTTGTGAGAGCCTGGTACGACTGATCAGTAGGCATCACTTTATTCGCAATGTCGACTAACCCATGTCCGCGTGAGACGGCCGGTGGTCTGCACGTTTGCTTTGCAACCATAAGGTCACCGGTTCCAATCCGCGTAGGGGTGGGTGTCCTCGCGGTATACTCAGCCCGCGCGCGACTGGTGGTCGCGCGGCAGCGAAGCGCCGTTACGGCGTACAGCGTGAGACACGCTTTATGTCAGTCAGTCGATGCAAGAGATTTGCGACGCATCGCACCACATACATAGCGCGTAGTTTATGTACCCAACAAAGTTTGGATTGTACATGTCAGTAGCCAGTGGATACCAACAGATTTACTATTTCTCCTTGTTGACTTCTTCATCGGAAGGTTTCCCCGATTTTCCGTTGTACTTTTTCATATTTCTAAATCTTACGCACAGATCACCGTAATCTAACCGAACCAATTGTTTCTGCTTGAAATTACAAAGATCACAGGTGCTTCGCGTTGGTCAGCGTGGTTTCCAATGTGGTGGACTGCCTCAATCGGTGTCTACTACATAGACACCTTATTAGGTGTTTCACCTTTTTGCCCATCGAATACTGGCAGGAAAGTGCTTGTAGTCACTCGGATCTACGTCAACACGAAGCCATAAAGCAGTGCTGTTTTATGCAAAGCATCAATAGATAATCGAATAGTTATTATCCATTACTCGCAGGTTAGTGTATCGTGGCTGTGGTCATCAACTTCATTCGCGCAACATAACGCGATGAATCTTACTAGCGTTACTCGCATCAACAAAAATAAAAGCGGTGAACAGTGGGACAAAACATGACGAACTGAACGATTTTGAACGCTCGAGAGAACGATAAACTCTCAGACTAAACTACTGATAATTTGGGAGCAGGGGGCCAACGCGAGAGTACCTGGTTTCTCCACTGCGCCCCAACGCCCAAGATATCTAACTACTGGCGCAATGAACTCTGCTGCCCGTCATCCAAGAAAACGACAGTCACATACCTGAATTTCTGGACTAGCTCCTTTAGCCAATTTATAGATGGTTAAGCTGGCAGACTGCACAACGGACGAGTGTGAAGCGGACAATCTCTTAAGCTGATTCAATTTGGAGCCCTCGATCCTCACTACTACTGACATGCATTTATATCCCTTGCAACTGGAGTGATATTTAAGTACCAACACCGAGAAGTAGCGTGCTGGGCTCGTGGTAGAAGCTGTCCGTGGTAGCATCAGGGCTGCAGTTGTGTGAAATTTTGCTGATGGTACCAACCGGGCTACACACAGACGGTAGGTAACGGGGAATCTGATTAACTAACAAAGGCTCGGCTCTGGAATCGAGAACCATACTCTAGTTTGATCTGGGGTTGCTGTGTGCTAAGTGCGTCCTGGTACGCGCTTGTAGCCTAGAGGTAACGCGCTTGTCTCGTGATCTTGCGGCGTGGGTTCGAGTCAGCGTAGGGTTGGGCGTTCTCGCGGTATACTCAGCCCGTGTGCGATTGGTGGTGGTCGCACGGCGGCGAAGCGCCGTTACGGCGTACAGCTGACACGTTTTTTTCGTACGCAGCTCCGCACCGGACTTGGCCTGAACTCACTGCCACTAACTATGCATGAACGCGCGATACGTCCTCCACTTTTCATGAACCACTACTGTCTTTGGCGTTGGTGTTCAACACTCTGATTTCAAATTAAGCGGCTTTAACATTGCGTCAGCATCTCCGGATGCATGTGACTAACAGTGAAAACGCAAACTAGTTAGAAAACCATGGCTTCGGACACACAGCGCAGTACGACACTGGAAGTGTCAAATAGCGCAGTCTGCCGACGTACCTGTCCTACAAAGGCGTGAGCGTTGAGTGCCGCCAGAGAAACAGGACAGTGTTGTATGAGTGCCGCGAGTACATAGCTGTAGACGGCAGAACTGTAATGTCAACTAGGCTGGGGATTTTAAGAAAAAGGCTGGAATGGGGATGGCGAATGTAACGATCAAAAGTAACAAGGTTTCGCTTATCCACCACCAAGTATGGCGAACCATTTAAAACCGCATGACGACTGATGCAGGTTGACTTAGAAATGGAATAATGCAAGGTTGTCCGAACCACAGTCAAGGCTCTTAAACCTGAGAACTGTCCATAAGGCTAAGAAGAGAATGTAACGACCACTAGTAAGGAAACAAAAACTAGAACCAATCGTCAGCCAGTATCCATTTGATTTAGCCAATATGAGACGTTAGCTACAAAATGGGCTTGAAGGCATCAGTCAATATAGCCTAATCGGTTGACGAAATACGCTAACCGTCGGGAGGCCGACTTCGCAGCTGGTGGGTTTAGACGCATGGCGTTCATCGGCTAAAGATGAGTTCGGGTGAAGTCGCACCTATGCGACCGAGCGCTGGTTGCCAGCCAACGCGCATTAGTAGTGCTCCCAAATCGGAGGCCCGTGCTCTGGTTCGACAGGTCTGAATTTTTAAGCCTGAATACTCTTGCCTTACAAGCTCGTCAGAGGCGCAAGACTATCGATCTCTCCCAAACATTCATTGCGCTCCGTATAGGCAACTCAAGGAAAATCTGCCACAGCGTGGTCTAGTGGACCACAGATACTATTCGACACTAGAAAGACATGGAGGAACCGAACTGCGATGAAGCCGCGTTACATGTCGATCCCATTTGTTGTCAGTCACCCGCGCTCTAATAAATACGAGAAGTCGGCGAGGCCTACACTTTAATTACTACGCATCCTCATGCTACGGATAACACGTAAAGTTCAACTCTAACCGTGGACGTCATAGGTATATTGTTTCCACCACGCACCAGCTCAGCGCGAGTAAAGGCACCTGGAATGATTTCCATTCGGTGGTCGGGTGAGACGCATGGCATAACTGACCACTGAATTCAGCCTAGGCGGTGGCCCCACGTATTAACAACGTATCCCAAGGCAACATATCAGCGTCATCGAAGGCGCAGGGGCATCAAATCAAGTGGCTCAGTGAAATATCTCACAGCGAACCGATCAACATGGCAGGATGACTAGGTATATGTGAAAGAAAGCAATTTGAGTTGGAGTCGATCTATATAACGAAGACTGGCAGAACGGAGAAGTCGGCGTGATTTTGCTAAACACAATGAGATAAGCACTTCCGATAGCCAGCAGAAAATGTCCCGTAAGCACAAAACGATAATCGGTTCCCAATGCCCAAACGGGTGGACTTTGATTAAACGTTCAACGAAATTTGAACACAATGTAACGGAATGCCGCATATATTAACAGAACAATACAGTGCACAAAAACTGACACAGCATGCCAGAGCATAGAAAACTCCGGTAACAACACTGGCATTCACATAGCGGTCCAGCACCGCGCCTAAAATCACATGAGCTAGGAAAGCAGGCAGTCTTAGGTCCACCATATTTCCAAACAACACTCAAAAACAGGCTGCAAATAAGAGAAACGGTACCACAACAGATGCATACAAATATCCAGGAAACGACATTCGCGATCCTCAAGACAAGCAAATACAAGCCGCTCGAAGAGAAGCTCCAGTCCTTCTAACCACAATATCGGAAAAATAACTCAATCAAACTTTTATGACCGCTGAACCCCAAATTTCAAATCCAAGCTCACGCAACGCCACCAAATCACCACCAAAGAGGCCGTAGACAAAACGGGGGAACTGTGTACTGTAGGAATCACACTCGTATAGCACAGCACGTGGAAGCATCAAGTAACACAAGCTTCATCCGCGAATATCCTGTTGACCAATAGCACTGTAACGAAAATAAGACCAGGGGGTTATTAAGTGAGACGGAAATGGTCTATTTTATCAGAGTACGTTTGCCTCATTAACTCGACACAGGTCTGTAAGCTCATCAGTATGAAATCCAAAACTGCACAGAAGTGAACCTACCACATGATTTCGAGGGAATCATTATTCTGAGCTACCCATCACGGTCCTCCAGTGAATGTATGACCATTCGCTCGGCCAGTAGCCTAAAGGTAACGAGGTTGCTTTGAAATCTGATGGTGCAGGTTACAGCCTGCGTGGGGACCGGGCGACCCTCGCGTTATCCTTAGCCCACGTGCGACCAGTGGTGGTCGCACGGCAGCAAAGAGTCGGTTCTGCATACCGGCGTAC